TTTTATTCGTCGTTTGAGGACACAGAAATGGATGTTATATTCGTCATCAGGACCTCAAATAACCCCTAACCGCAAGTTTTCAGCAAACTTGGTGAAAACACCATTGGCGCCAAATTGACGCCAAATGGCGCCAGCGCCAAAAATGAAGTCCATATTCGTTATCAGGGCATCGGATTACCCATATAGGTGAAGTTTCATTGGAAATTAAAATTTTGAGTTTTTGGGGTTGTAATTGTGGAATAGTACCAAAATTTGAACTCCTTCCAACAACTGGCGCCTTACCTCTAATCTTGTTCCCGCCAAACGTTTACATAGTGCCTTCTATGAATAATCACTATTCAAAGCTTCATACACCGAAATGGTCTGAGCCCAATGATTTGGGAATATTCCCCAAATCTTAACAGAATACAAGTTTTCTATTGTTTCCAAGAGTTTTTACTTGTTTCACACAAATGATAGCTTATTACTTGTGAATACAGTAAACTAAATATAGTGTCTGTTCCGTGGATCGATGTCTGTCAATGGTGACCGACGATTAGTCAGCGCTTTCAAACGGTCTCGTCCCGTTGGCGCGCAAACGGAAAACGCTCTCGTCGTCAACGTGTTAAGATTGGAGTTAGATTGAAACATATGAACATTTGTTTTTTATTCACAGAATGATCGTCCCTCATCGTGTGGAGAGCGTGGAAGGAGAAGATGTTGAAGCAGAGAATCTCATAGAGATCGCACCTCCTTCCACTATCACGGATAAGATCATAAAACTCGAGGAGCCTGATTTTAGTGAGGACGAAGTCATTAAGGCTATCGAAATTCCGGCTTTAGCCCATATCGATGAAGTGAGTAATTTTTTAGTGCTAGTGTGTTGATATCTTTCTAAGGTACTCCACAAATGATGTCTCTCTCTATAGAGCACTAATTTTGGGGACTGGTATCTTTTCCCTGAACTGCGTATTGCGCTCGCCGCACTAAATCGCGCGCTTTAAAGGGAAAGATTCGAATTCCCGATGGAAGGAAACGGCAGTCGTCGCAGAACCACCGCCGCTGGACGTGAGAATTTGGGGAGAAGTTCCGCCACCCCTAACTATGCGTGTCTGTTTGTAGGCTAAATTGTGCGTCCGTCCCTAGAAAGTCACGTAGGCACAATGCGTGTTCAAGTAACATAGTTCATTACCCTGTTACTATTTCACATGGTCCGCTCTCTGCATAACCTACGCCCACGCTAGCGGGATTCGTTTTTCTCACTTTCTACTACCTACCACCAGTGTTTTAATTCTGCCGCAAGTACTTGTGCCAAATTTGAACGCCGTACGTTGTACGCCAAATTTGAACAATCTACGTATCAGTAATCTTCTCCCACGCTCTGCCCTTTAAGGGCGGAGTTAACCGCGTTTCAACATTCCCATCTATCCCTGCACCCCTACCTATTTTAAAGCCCCACGTTCTTTAATTAAGAGTTTCCGCTCGCGCCACGCCAAGCCCCTGTGAGCGGAGTCTGGTCACATCGTCAGTGTTCCCATCTTCCCGCCCAAACTGCTGCCAAATTTTAACACTTTAGGTTCAATGAACAATTCTGCTACTCCGCGCCTCCTGCGGGGCAGAATCTAATCTTGCCACCCGTCTTTACCTGTACACCTAGCGAATTTGAATGCCCCATGTCCAAATCGCCAGTTTTGACGCACGCCCCGCCCACTTTGGGGGGAGGCCAGTCCTGTCACATGCCATGAGTGCTCCTATGCTGCCGCGTGTGCTTCTACCGAATTTGAATGCTCTAGCTAGTGGGACAGAAGTCATGAGTTTCCGGTCAGATAAACCCACACACACCACACGCGTGTACCACACGCACTAGCAGATACACTCAACGGATTATATAAGTAGGATCCACAGCTTATATAAAAAGTAGATTTGTCTTCATACCATGGGAGGGAAGGGATAGTTTAATAGTTGGTTTCTACTGTTCTCTCTAGACTACCACGGAAAGTGAGAGAGTTTATGATGGTAGTGGGTGCGCTTCAAGACCTTTAGTTGGAATAGTAACAATGGCATTTCCATTAGTCACGGTAGAGATAGTAGTAAGAAGAAGCTATGGAAAAATTTTTCTGTTCTCTCCCGCGACAATGCCTGGGGCTGAAAACTGTTGTATTGCTTGTTTCGATTTCAGAACGTTGAAGTGAATGGTATCAAAATTTGGCCTCTTGTGGCTGAAGTTGTGAAACTGGCTCATAAACCAGGAGTGCGAGAACTGTATAGGAAATGCACAGCCTTGTAAGTTCTTTCATTGGTCGAATTCAGATGCTAGCTCACCAACCGCTCTCAAGTCTTTTCTTCAACTACAGGGGCCTTTAGAGGGAGTGAACAAAACTAAGGTGACGCAGAAATTTTATTTCAGCTCAACAGAAAAACAATTATTACTGATCCATTCCTTTGAAAGTACTGAGCAACATAAAAAATTACTTCCTTTGAAGGCGATCTCCATTCATCTGACGCAAGCTCGAATACGCCTCGGAAAACGTTGGCTGTGGCGAAGAGATAGTCGTCGTCCAACCTACTCAGTGTTTTCTGCAGCATTGACTTTGAGGAATTGAGGTCACGACGTGCTTTCGAGCATGCGTCAGACTTGAGGACACTCCATACATAGAAAGTAAGAGGGTTGAGGTCGGGCGAGGGAAAGACTATCATCAAACGCGATGAGAACTGGAAAATTTTGCTTGCACCAATTTGGTCAATGTGGCCGGCCTTGTGAGCAGGAGCACTGTCCATTTTGAAGCACCACTTCTTGTTACCAAGCTTCTCCCGGTCCATGTTAACACAACATTCTTAGAATGTCGAGCTAGTTGTTCGCATTGACCTCCTGTGAAATGGGAGGGGAGCGGTGTTCTTCTGGTGGTGGTTATTCCGGCAGGTCTTCCGCGATTTTAGCTTAGCAGTATGGTTAGGGTCGCGCATGGTTTAGATGTTGCGTAAAAGCGATCGTTCTGCTTGTTCAAACTTTGCTCGATAGTGAAAATCCTCTCCGTAAAGAGAGTGGATCTGTTTGTACCATCAGGAATCGTCTGAGAAGCCTTCCGTAGCGCACTTCTTTCAGTATCAGCACAAAGAAACTGGAAACTGGCCCTTCCCCTACTCATATGCTTTCGTTGCTGAATGATCCTTCACAGTCCCGTGCATAGGTCGCCTGAAAGTCGTCAAAAATTCTGCCATCTGCCTAACTGACCGTGCCGGATTCGAATGCAGATGATCCCGTATACTTTTGTTTCGTGAAGGTCGTAACAGAAATGGTTATCAAACGCCCTAGATGGTCGGGAATTTTTATTCTTTGAATCTTGGGATTGCTGTTGAAAGAAGGCTTCTTGACACTTCTAGAGGTCGAGAGATCTCAATCGCTCAGTTTCTCCGACGATGGAGGTTGATAATCAAAGTCCAATAAGCGATAGCTAAGCCATGTGAGAGAGAGTGAGATTTCAAGTTATAGTAGAGAACCTCACAATGGATTGAATTAAAACAACGAGGAGTCCTTCACAAGTGAAAAACGCCTCACGGGGTCAAAATCAAGCGCTCACGTTTGTTTCCGTAATTTTGGTGGATACTAACACTCCACTGTACACATTAGGTTGATGCATGACATTTTATTTGAAAAAAAGATAAAAATAACTTACAAAGACACTTTCAAATAGATACTGTGGAACGTATGAACCTTCTACGTCAAGCCCTGTTCAGCACATTATTTCGTCGTGAGCTCTAATCGCTATCCAATTTTTCGACAAACGGTTGACGTGATAATCCATAAGAGTTTTTGTCAGTGAATATAGCGGCAAGAGCAGATTCCGTTTCTTGCTTGGCTTTGGCTGACTGATCCATCGTAGAAAAGTTCGTTGAGCTCGCAAAATTACTCGCCGGCATTCAAACCTTTCTCGAAGTAGTAGAGTATAATGTGGCAAATGTGAACATGCCTGTTTAGAAGCTGTAAGAATTTCTGTTAAAGGAAACGAGAAGATTATTTTTATAAAACTGAATATTCAAATTGTATCGATAGAAAAGTAGCCGCGAAAAGTCCGCAATAACTATATATCAATCTTAACTGAAAACAATGCAAAATGATCGGTCACCCGATCATTTTGCATTGTTCACTGTGTTTCATTGAAACTGTGTTTCATCGCAAATTGCCAATCCATCCGCATGGCTTTCCATTAATTCAGATAAAATTGTTGGGTATGAGCACGGTGCAAAATAATAAGGCACCCTGGAAAGACTGTTTGCTCTTAAAATTTAGTTTTACTCGGCCTGATAAACAGCAAGTTTCTCGAGCATCTGCCTGTACCGGTCCGCTAGGCCGTCACCACTCCCGGAACACGAGCAGTAATTGACATATCGTTAACATATCGCGTAATTTTCGTGGATGTCCTCAAAGTGAAAGGTGTAGTTCAAGTTCACCGAGGTGGAACAGCATTTGCAAGGCAAGGGTTCTCTAGACGTTGTATCTAAAAATGGGCTCTCGACGACACTCTCCACCGTTGCATGACAGCTCACGATTAAGACAAGACCGTTGTCGCTTAGAACCACATGTGAAGACCAACGCAACTTGAATTATGCGACAAGACAGGTGGTGGGCCTCGAAACACGTAAACGAAACATCCTATACTCATTTGTGAAAAAAAACGAGCTGCTTGCGCTTAGACATCGTTGACGACTATGGAGCTTACTTGACTAAATACTTTAACATTAGCTCCCAATCTCCTTTGCTGCTCGTTTCGTTCGTAAAAAGGTTGCGGACTTTCGAATAAGCCGACCACATATTTTCACACGGTTTCCTTGAAGGTTGTCCTATATTCCGCTCCGATTCTATGAAAAGCAATTCCATATGAGCGCATAGGAAATACTTAACCAATTTGTGAATACAGTTTGTTAATAAAAGTTGTGTAGATGTTGGTGGTTGTGGTACGAAGATTTAAGGACCGTGAAATATTCTAAGTTTTAGTGAGCGTCCTATCATTTTGCACCGTGTCGAGCGAGCCACTCCATCAGATACTTTCAAGGGGCTTACGCATACATCATTCTAGCCGCACACCCTGCCTTATTTGACTGAGAAACAGGTTCCGAGAGATGGAGCGCAATGACATTCACCGTGCGCTATTGCAAGACATCACAATGCGCGTACACTCTACACGTACCTGCGGTACAAGTGTCGTGTGCGGTGACCTACATTCGAGTACCGTGACAGTATTAGCGACTACTTACCTGAAAGCGAGCAGAGGGGCCCCTTAAACGGGCAATGATAGGTAAGAAAGCGGGCGCCATCAAATCAGGTCAAATCAGTTCTATGGAAACTTTTCTGAATCATTACTAGCATGACCTCAAAACACATCTTGCAAACGAACTCACATTTATTTATCTCCTAAAAGACGTTTTGACACTAATCCGAAGCCGCACTGTTGTCCGTAACTCGCGCCAACCTTGCAAGACATTCATTTTATTTCTTACTGGACAATAGTCTCTTTCTAGCAAGGGAAGAACACGATTCATGTGACTGTTTAGGGTTCTCAAAGAGAATACCAACATGCTGGATAGTGCAATTTCACGGCGTGTTGCAGCAGAATTCAAATGTCATGGAGTGACGGCTTCGCGACTTACCAATTATGCCAGGCGTGTGAAGCGCCGGCTGCCTTCGTCTTCCAGGCGTGAGAGTGTAGCAGTTGTAGATCTAGTAAGTTTCAGGGTTTCGAGGCTTAATTCTGCAACTATTCTGATACTTTTCTCGACAACCAGTTCCATCCTCGATAATCATTGCTGGTTTCTCCTCCATTTTGTGAGACCAATCGTGGCTTCAAAGCCTACAAAGCGATCATGGATAGATTTCACCCAAACCGTCGAAATCCATCAGTCCTCCATCAGAACTGCGTACATCGCTGCATGCAGGCTCAGTATTAATGCATTTGAGACACAGTTCACGGTAGAAATGGTTCCCGACATTAGTAACTGGGACGAACTGTGGCCCCCAAGTATGTCATTTCGAAAGTGGCTCGGACAGAACACAAAACAGCCCGAAAATCGCCCTCATCGACGTCCACACCGAGTGGTCAACGTGTTTTTTTTTGGTATTGCTGGCTGCACCATTCTCAGTGAAGTACACATATTGGAACTCCAATCAGCTGGTCGTAACCCTCGGCGACAATGAAAGACAATTCTTGGCATTTTTATTTTACTGTAGCCAGTTTGATTGCTATTGCACAGCTGATTTCGTCCTAACATCCCTTCCATGCTACTTCCGTCAGGTCATCCCTGTTAGCACTACATTCAAGTATCATATTTTGTAGGGTCTGCGGACTTTTATGCATTCTTGCTCTATTCTGAATCTTAGTGGCGGTTTGAATTTGACTCTTGAGGGATGAAATGCTTGGATGACTCAGGCGAATAACGATCTGGGATTCGAACCCAGGTCCATATATGTGTATGTGACATTACGCCCTGCCACTACACCGCATAAGTCAAGATTTTCAGATAGACAACGAAATTGGCAGCATGAAGACTGCATTAATAGAATGCAGTATTGAAAAAGAGCGGATTGAAAAATGGACTGTTCCCGAAAAGATCTTGATGCATGCAAAAAAAAAACTCAAAAAAAAACTGGCTCCATATACAGCTACTTCTATATTCATGATAGCCTCGGGACGTGTCTACATATTCCACTATAGCATTCAGACATGTGGTTAACTACAGTTGCTTCAGGTTGCAGTTGCATACTGAATGATAACAGGAAAAAATTACTGGAGTAGCCGCTCACTCTCTTTGTAGACTCATTTCGAACTATCCATGGTCGTGCGGAGGACCACAACCTAACTGGTCACGAGATTCGGAAAACGGGTCATTATCTGGGCTGGAGCGAGTTGTCGTGGGGGCTCATGTTTGGGCATGCTTCCGCAAGAAATTAATAATGTACTACAGGACGATAAGGCCACAAACACAAAACCTGAGGAGTTTGAGGAGCGATTGATTAAGAACGAGGACCTGGAAGAGCTGAAACAGACCCCACATCATGTAACACTAATCAATGGACCATTTCATTACGGTTAGCGATCTGACAATGTTTCGATACTTTGGTAAAGGTAACAGGTTACCACGACTTAGAATTCGGATCTCGGGTGCACTTCGTTCCGCGCGTCCGTCGAAGATAGGTCACGCGCAGCCGTCGCATACGGCACGCCAGCCCCCGATTCTTGACAGATGTGGCAGTTGTCAGTGGGGCATATGATCGGCACTTGGTAGTCAGCTTGAATTTTAGATAACACGTACTAGTGCGAATCATTCGCTCTTCCGATTCTTAGTGGTACTGTAATGCCACCTCGAGATCGCAGTAGGATGCGCCGCGCGCGAAGTTGTCGGGTGACCTAATTTGACGGACGCGCGGAGCGGACTTCTCCCTATTTACCGGACACTGATATTTCCAGTGCCAATCGATAGAAGTGAAGGAAGCAACGATTTGATTCTCTTTAACTACTTATTCATGCAATTTATACAACGCACGCACGAAATGTATCGCATCAGGGTTCCAGACGTCGATCTAGGGCTACTACGTGGCATGATCCTTCAGGTCAGTAATCTCCAGTGCTACTTGGTTGATCTTTAGGAGTGAAAGTTTTTACAGTACTGCCACGTGTTTCAGGCGTTCGACGGGAAACGTAACATCTCTGATATCGCAGGTAACCACTTGCCGCCACTGGAGCTGAGGAAAGTTTGCAATGCTTTAGCCTCAATTCTTCATATGCAACGTGGTCAGGTAGAGTTAACGGTCTAGCTGTATGCTGAGATGCATTCACTGGAAAGATGGAAGGGGTCTTTCTGAGCAAACACCGAAGCAAAGTAAGGAATGCGTATCCAGGGACAACAGCGCGCTGGACGGTGGCATTAGTTTGAACTATTTTGTGCAAGAATCCAACTTCACAAACAACATCAGTCACAAGTTCATGGCAATTCCTAATGGAAAGTGAAGTTATAAGGGCGTGCTCAAATGGAGGGAATGAACGCTTCGATCCAGTACGAGGCCGCGATCGAGTTCACTAACCTGGCGCTCGTTTGAGTTATTCGACGATCAGAGGAAGTGAAGAGCTTTCAAAAGAACGATTAGCAAGGATGGAAGACTTGGTTTGCCTGGCCAGATGCTGATCCACCTGACCACGCGCTAAAACATCATGCTTACCACCATCATGGAAGAAATAAGAACGTAAGTAGAATAAGTAAAAAAATAACCAACTATGCAAGTTTATAGAAAGATTGCGTTTTCTAGTATCAAAAAACTTGAAGTTATTCTTATTTTGAACGTTTGACAAGCAAATTGTTGACCTATGAGGTGGATCCCTAATCTCGAAGGGGCTTCATTGCCAGAGTAAAGTGATTTGCTCGGATTCACTGTGAGCCGTGGACTACTGCTAATTTATTCGGTCCATCTCAACGGAAAGGTACTGAAACGATGCTGTGTGCACGAAGAGCTCTAATGGAGTCACGCGTGAATCGCCCCCCCCCCTTGTACTTTCCCGCAATCTCTTCAACGCTATATCCCTACCATTTCTGACAGATGGGCATGTTTCCTCCGTGCACCCATCTACGTATGCAGAGCGGCTGAGAATTATTGGCACGAACGGAAAAGCTTTTTCCAAAAGATATGCGCTACTAAGTGGCACTCTCTGAATCTCTATTCTGGCAAAGTAGAAATTATGAAGCGGTGACAGTCTGAGGAATTATTCATGTGCCCATTACGGAAGTTGTGCAAAAGTGAATGTTCCCCACAATTTAACGTAGATTAAAGAATTGAGTGTGTGCCGCAGACAGTCATGTTTAGACCGCTCTGAATTTTTACAAGCTAGTTCCCAGATACTTCACTCCCTTCATGCCGCGCTTGCACACCCGCTGCGTGAAAAGGTGTCCACCAAAAAAAGGGGTGGTGGAATTTACGTGATTCACGTTCGCTCTGCAACATGCGACAAACCTTTTGTTGTTTCGTGGCTTCAAACTGCAATTATCGTACTCAGTCCGCCTCCCGGCCAATCGATAGGACACCATATTTTTCGTTGACTGCAATGCCTTTTCGATTGGATTTAATTGTTCCTTACTATTTCTTTTTTCTTTTTATGTTTATTAGTCTGATTCTTGACGGGATGTTACCTTCTCTATTATCGGCGAACAAGACTGCATTGGGACTGAAGAAAGTGGTCAGCAAATTTCAGTAATTAGTGGACTCCCTAACTCACAGATTGCGCGCTTCAATCTTCCATCGCATTTCTGCGATAGGCTGCTTTCAGTCTTCAGCGTGCGATGTGTGCGTGCGTCGTGCGTCCCGTGCGTGCACGCGGCGAAGCGACGGCGGCGCTAGCCACCTGTAGACAGCGCTGAGTACCGATTGACGCTGCGAATCGCGATGACTAGTTTTTCTATCATTTTGAGTGTCAGCCTCCGTCTTTTCTCTGCTTTTTTCAGCATTTCTTGTGACGACCGCCGTTTTTTGCTATTTCTCGCTTTGCAATCCTTTTGTATTTTATTTTCGTTTTCTTTTATTCTATTTTCGTAATCAAATGTTTGTCTGTCTAGTAAATGTCTAGAAATGTTTGTCTGTACTTGCTAGCTCTAGTACACTATGTTTCAGTGGTTTTTCAGCTCAGTGTTGCTGGAATTAAAAGTTGCAAAGTGTCTGTTGATGAGTCTAAATCTTCATCATATTAGGTTGTCGGAAAAGTATTTGCGCCTTTTGCAATCTTTTTTTGAATTTATTTTTTTCCTTCACGACAACTAATAATTAACATGCATATGCACCTTGACTATCGACAAGGTATTGCCATTCACCAGGCAACTTGTGGTTCCTGCTTGCGTAGAATTCCTGAGGTTTCGAGGAGGAAAACTCGTCAATGTACGTCTCGAGTTGATTCACATAATCGAACTTCTTATTTTTCGGAAGGTCCGACAGCGACAGGAGCAGATGATAATCCGTTGGAGTTAGGTCTGGTGAATACGGTGGGTGGGCCATAACATGTCATCTCAGGCTTTGAAGCTTCTTGTGTGTCTCCTTCAAAATGTGTGGGCGAGCACTTTCGTGGAGATAAGAGACTTCCCCAAGTTCTCTTTTAGAGCTGCAGCAATCCGGTCCACAGAGCACACTGGGCTTCAGTGCTGACAGCGGAGTTTGGTGGTAGAAAGTCCCAGTGAACGATCCTGTTGAATGGCTACAAACGCTTGGCATTGCCTTCTGAGGTAGGAATTCGGGATTGGAGGTCGGGATTCCATGCCCTACGCATCTAAGCCACTGGCGCTTCCTCGTGTGGTTTAAGTAGGGAACACACTTCTCGTCGCCAGTGATTAAGTCTTGCAGCCATGCGAAGGTGCGTCGGAAAGTCATCAAGTTTAGGCATGAATCCCTCTTCATTTGGAGGTCGTGACCACCCAGATCAAAACTTATCCATATCTCCGAATCTCCATTTCTTTCCAAGGCGATGCAGATGGACAGCTGTTGTGTCGTGATGGCTATGAACTCCTGTTTCAGCTGATGGGTACTAAACCTAGAATCTTCTTCAACCAGCTTCAGGAGATAGTCATCATTGAGCTCAGCTAGTCTCCTAAATAGTGGTTCTTCGGTCCAATCAAAGTGGCCATTTTTGAACTTCTTGTACCAACTTCTTGATGTGCTATTAGAGACAATGAAAGGTCCTATCGCATCGCATATCCCCCCTGTTGCTCAATTTGGATTAACGTTTTTTCTGAACTTATGAAGAAAAGATAATCTGACTAGCTTCGAGTCGAGAGCGATTCTTGCAGCCATAACCGTTGCGAAATGCTACGGCAGATATGGTGTGGAGAGCGCATTGACCTGCACTTAAACATATTCCCCAGTGAAAGCTCTAGAGCAATTCCCAAAGATTTCACAACATGGAAACCAAAATGCGCAAATACTTTTCCGACAACCTAATATAATAAACTTTTCATATAACAAATTTGTGAGCTGTTATGAGTTAAGTCGGCATTACGTAAATCTCATTGAAGTAGTTCTGTGTTGGGTCCGCATTGGAGTTTAGAAAAAACGTGAAAGGTTTTGAAAAGTCGATAAAGTCTTGCGTGAACCAGATCTTGCACTCAGAACAGTGATACTGAAACTGCAGTTTTCTTCGGAAAATTATTGCCACCGGCTTATTTTCGCCGTCTTTCCGTTGCCTCTTTCTGCTTTTTTCTATACTTTTTTGTCAACTCTTCTTTTCTTATTTTGCTTTTTTTTCTGAAGAGCATCAAACAATACGTGACCTTGTTATTACAGTGAATAATCAATACTGTTAATATTCGCCGCTGATAATGAGTGCGTCAAGTACTTTTCTGCCTTCGTGAACTAGAAAAAGTAGTCATCGCCGATTTGCGCTATCTTTCCGTACTCAATGCGTCAGCAGGTGGCTAGCGCCGCTCGCTTGCGCGCCCGCACGTACAAGTTCGAAAGCAGATACGGGCGGATGCGGCGAGCGCGACATAATGGTAGGGGAAGATACCGGTCCCTCCAAAAAGAGACGAAGTGTGACTGTAGCGCGCAAGTATGGGACATTTTGGAAATTGGCGCGCGCCCTATCGAATGGCGAAGAGACGAGGTTTGGCGGGAACGAACAAGATCCCAGCAGTTCGATGCCGCGCAACTATCAAAAATTCACCTCGCATTTGCCTGAGTATTAGCAACTTCGAGCATTATGTCCCATTTCCAGTTTTTATGTGGTGTTTTATGCAGAGCTCTGTACAAACTTCAGTTGGGCTACTAGTCTATAGCTTAGCATTTCGATTGAGGATTTCGGAAGGAGTCACTGATTACTATACACCTCAATGTTTTAGACCCATATGTCACAAGAAATGTTGATTTGCACGATCGAATTCTTGAAGTTCTACAACAAATACTGCTGCCCTCCTCCACCCTCAACAGCCTAATGGAATGGGACTGACGGCTCACCTTTTCTCCATTTATTTCTTCGATTAATATATATTTTCTGCACCTTTTAAGCCTTAGCATATGTTGCGCTACTGTAATTAATAACTGCATTCATAAACCTTTTTTTTTATTAAGTAACTTAATCAGTTTACACATTTTGATTTTAAAATACGCCTACTGTACTGTATTCAGTTGCCCCGTCGGGTAGTGACGATCCGGACTCTTTAACTGATTCGTTCTGTTGAATTGGTTCGCTTTTGTGAAGCTCACTTGTTCCGGTGCTGTTACATAGAGTATGAAACAATAAGTTTTTGACTTTTTAGTGCTTTCTTTACAGTTGTGGAATAAAGTTGTTAATGTCAATAACTATAACATATTGTCATACAGAGGACGAATATAAGATGTCATCGGCGGGAGAAACAAGAAAGGATATAGCGTAATCAAAAAGGTTAGACCATTTAGTGTCAACCCCACCCTGGGTAGGGTTGACACTAGATGGACCCACTACGATCTGACCTGCAACTGCATCATGTGCCCCAGCCAAGTGGAATTGGAACGGTTTCCTTTCTAGGAAATCCTTAGTATAGAGCCATTCAATTTTACACTTTTGAAGGGCAAATACTGATGGAACAAATATCATTGCCCACATAAATTGGTTGCTACAAAATCGAACACAGTTGAAGAAAGGTAACAAAAGCGTGAGCCAAGTCCGTTACATTGGCTAATAAGTGAATGGATCGAGATATTCCGGTACAACATGGGTTCTGCTGATCAGTGAAGGAGGCTTCTTCATTACGTTTGGAAAGAATAAACGATTTGTTCTATAGTTATATTGTGGCACTTTCTTTAAAGCAGTTAGCGCTACAATGGCTGATAAGGACCGGATAGAAATTATAAAAATTTCCCCAACTTTTCCCGTGAGGCGAGTTATGTTGTTCAATGTACTTTCAACAAGAAAGGCTATGCATTTTCTTTGTCCGTGACGCTTTCACTACAAAAAGAGCACCGTGGAAATGCAGCCATGGGCTGAAAGCACTAGATCCAAAGAGTTCAACACTGTGCCATGTCCATTGAAAAATTCACTGAGGGTCTGTTGCCGTAAGATTGACAGGGTGCCGAAAGAAGGCTTCCTGACCATTCCTTTTGACAGCCAATTCTGTACGGGTTTTCTTCAATGGCTTATTGTAATGTTGATTCATGATACTTTGATATGGTATAACCGCAAAGGGTGAGGTTCACTGCAGTCGCTGCTTCCTCTTCAGGATGTCCGCTGGTGAGCAGGACGTAAGTTGTGGCTTTATTCTTACAATGGTTACGGTTGAATTTTTGTGGGAGAGGGGTCTTGAATGAACACATGAGAGATAGCAGATGAGCCTACTGAAAACGGACTTCTCGAGTATTCCACGTATTAGCCCCAAATTCTACGTCTCCATCTTCAAGCAGTTTCCATTACGACGAGAACGACCTCGGTCAGAATTCGTGAACTGATTGTTAGTTAAGAATGATCTAGAACTCGGAGGGAGCCACCTGAGCCTACGGATGATCAGAGCTGGTGTCGGCAAGACATTTAGTAGGCATGTATGCGCTTTTCTACCTGGCTATTCTGACAGTAGGCCCATGACAAGGAGCGAGCCCTTCGAAACGACCTTTCTTACTCATTTGTGTTTACAAAATGCACTCCACCACACTAATTCCAAACAGCCCACGGAGCTCACGGAAAACATATCGATCACGCGCAAGTGCAATTCATGCTATCCTGAATTCGAACGCTAACAAACCACCCACCCTAAGTAATTGCAATCACGAAAAGTAGCTAATACACAATATAAACACTTATTTTCAGTTAGTATCATACGATTTAACAGCTGGGCTCAGTTCACAGAATATTTCTTTTGGTAAGTTGAATTCGACTGGCACAAAAGTATTTGACGCAGCCATGGATCATTTCAGAAACTTTTGCCAAGAACATCTGGTCGTACATCATGAATTTCTATCCGGACGGACCCAAACCATTCTTCAAAATGGATATTTTCATGACGCTATTTAACCGTACTGCAGCGATATTAGAAAAAGAGCCAAGCGTTCTTGAACTTACCGTGAGCACTCTATGATTGTTGTCCATAGCAAATTCGAACAGCATAAGCTAACCGAGAAACCTGTTGCAGTTTACTAGAACGATGCGAGAAAAGAGGCGTCATCCAAGTCTCATCAGTATCTGCTCTCTTTGTCAGATCTTACGCCCATCATATGTAATCGAAGGAAAGGGGAAAGAGAATCGGGAGAGCAGAAAAAATGTTGCGATTGCTTCTCCTCAAGTCGGAATCCCCACAGAAACACAATAGGGAAGAAAGAAAACATCATGTCATGATTTCCCGGTGAAAGATAGTGGGCGTAGTGATAAGCGGCAAACTATCACCACTTATGTTAGCCCGAGGATCGGGTCTCGGAATTATACTCGCCTTTCCGATTCATTTCGCTTTAACCGGAATTCGGTGTGTCAACCACTACCCATCCGAACGAGACTAAGATGGAGGAATGAAAGACGAATATGGTGTGTATGTCCAAGAGGGATTGATCAACATCAAAAGACTTCGTGCTTGGTCTTGTTGAAATGATTAAGCAGATTTCTCACTAATTATACCTTCGCCGTTTAAGGCAGTCACTTAACTTATAGTGTCTTTTTGCAAGATTTTGAATCCTTTCCTTCTATAGTTCTTCGCAAGCTGTGAGTTAGATTATATACACGCCATTTCAAACTATGGAGCCAGAATCAGTATAAAAATCATTTCTAACATAACGCATTCCTCATCAAATTCCTGCAAGGAATTGCAGTTTAGCCTGGGCAGCGTCAGCCACAGGAAGAGGCCGACCACCTCATCCCATCACAGAAACCAGAACAAAGTCCTTTACAGCGTCTGTGATTGCCCGGGACTCTATACTGAGTGAGGAACAAATTTCAGGGTGAAGTGACAGTAATGGGACCGATCTACGGCGAAGGTGATTCGCTGATCACATTACTGTCGCTAGTCGGAATGCCACCGCAAAAATCTTTCGTATTTCTTGGATGCTACTTTGGACTGGGCTTCGGTTTGTGTGTTCTGGAAGTTATGAACCGCATAATACCTCAATCCAACAATACAGCCGACCATTTCAGCCCCTCTGGAAAGCCTAATGCTTGTTTTCTGCTTGAAATGCCTCCACCCAACAAAAATTTACCTTCTCAAAGGTCATCTCGAGGAGCCGGCATCGATTAAGGTAAGTGGGCAGCTTTGAAGAATAGAAAGAAAACAGCTGCGAATGAAGCGAAGTTGCAGAGTCTGGGACTAGACGATTGGTTAGTGCGCCGGCGAATTCCGACTGACTCTGTGTCGAAGGCTTCTGATACGGTCATAGTGAGTGATTTTAGCAACCAATACGGCAAAGTTGATCATCAGATGGATTGCAGCGCACGGTAGCTTCTATGCCTATAGCTGCTATGATTGGCCCAAAAATTCTATGCATTCCCGGTGGACCAGGTCCCATCATACGCGAAAATGGTTTAGCAGCACTGAAAGCATGTTCACGAATGTCGATGAATCAGTTGGATAGGTCCATGTGTATGGTAAGTTCCCACATGTGACTGTACGGTAGGTTCCCACGTGCTAGGCCCGATCAGTTATGACTGTGCTTTGACACGAACATACATTCGACTCGAACTTTCTAGTGAGCTTTTGGGAAGCCCCAACAGCCCACTAGAATCCACGTCGGTCACCACCGAGCTGAAGGTAGCTGAGGTTTTTAGGAAGCTGCATGGACAGTCATGAAGTTGGAAGCAAATCCAGTGACCATTGACGATGGAATACCGACGTTCACCGAATCACAATGCTCGGCGTTTTGCAAAGCAAATGGACTGGCTGTGATAATACGAGGAAGACAACTGGTGAATGATAAATTTCTAATCGATAAACCTAATCAGACGTTTTTTAGTTGTAATGTACCTGGCTGACTATTCTAACATCATCAAGCTTAAGCAATCAATTGCCCTCAGTAAAAATCAGCTCTAGAAAGTCTCGGAAGTTGTTTTATTTGATTGTAACATCACAGGTGGACGAAGGCTTTCTCAATTATCCAAAAGAAGTGCTGACAATCGTCTCAGCTGTGGCCTACCTGGACAACTTCCGGAATTACGCTGCTGCCATGACTATTCAAGGAATGAATGCGAGTTTTTTGTTCATTAGACCGAATAGGCAACCTCAGAATAACACAATTCGGAGGCGCATGGCTTTGGAGGAGCCAAGAAGGTGGAGTGGGGCAGGGGGCGGGAGGAAAAGGACTATCACAGTAAAAGGGGAGCGATGCCCACAAAAACGTTAGGGAAGATCAGCAGTGGAACCTTTCACCAAGCAGAAAGCAAACTAATTCATACTGAAAGTGTGGTTTCCGAGAGCCGTGGAGGATCGAATCGGCTTCTCACCTTTATTTCGAAATTCACAGTTTTTTGACATTGAGAACAAGTAAAAAAGTGACGGAACGTTTACTGGTCTTCAGGATTCCTGCCCTGACAAAGTATACTGACCTTTACAGTTCCTAACAAATTAGAATGCACGGCGCACACAGAATAGAAGGGTCTAAACCGATACCCTGGCTCTTGTAAAAGGGTTACTGTGCACTTACTACCTTAAACAGCTATCAAGGAACTATAACAAGTAGTACCAGCATCTGGGCGTCTGCTAAGGCTTCTTCAAATAGGCCTTTTAAGGAACCAAAACAAGGAGTACGTTTTCTTTAATAATTCAATAACATATCAACTTACAATTTCAGGCATCAATCATCCGCTACAAAATGGATGAAGGTGAACCGAAATCGTTAGACATCGTTAAACCGGGAATTGGGCGGAATGCAACAGCATTACCAATGTGAATTGCAGCTAGAAAAAAAAACTCATGGACGTCACAATCATCATTGTTTTTTGTAAAAAATGATCGCGATAAAAGAGTTCAAGTGGTCAGTCAGCATGTCGTATGAATCATGCATCGCAACATTGGGAATGGGGCATACTCACAAGGAGGATAGGTTGCAGAATGGGTGGACATCCCAGGCAGACCTCTGATACTTGTATAACCCGCTCCCGCACGTCCGAAACATCTTTTTCTAGGCTCGCGCTAAGTTTGTTGAGAAAGAATATTCAATAGGGAGTCCGAGTCATTCGAAGGAAACGAAGGAACGAAGGAGGCTGTCAACATTGTCAGTACGCGATACCCCATAACACAGATGTTTGTAGTGTCGTCTGCGCTCTCTTAATATACCTCGCCTTTTATCTGAGGACGTCCGCTGTTGCTGTAGCTCTGCAACCTAATTACGGTAGATTCAAGACACCTCTGATCACTCGCATGCCACGCATCGATTCTTTTGTCATTTGGGCATCCATTACATAGGGTATCCTTCCCCATTTGCATACAGAAGCAGTCAACCAGCAACTAATTGATAATGATCAAAGCTCTGGACAATAATTTCGACGAATAATTATTGTTCAGAGCTACGGGAACTACTTATAGTTCAAATAAGAATCAAGAAGGTAGCGCGACGCGATCGCCAGCATAGCCGGAAATCACTTTTTATCAAAAATTATTTATCGATAACAGACGAAACTCGCATAAGAACACTGGAACAATCGTTTATGTGTGATACTGTCGACAAAGGAGAACTCTTAAAATGGAACGTTTAAATGTCTACTCCACTGTTTCTCTCATGGGAGTGCAGAGACGCAGAGAGCACTCTGTTTCTCTCTCAGGAGTGCAGAGACACAGAGACCACTCTGTTTCTCAGTCGAGTCGCATGAGAGATAATGTAGTGATGATGAAAATAGAAGTTGAATAGCTTCTAATCTGTACAGAGGAATGCTTCAAGTATCAAAAAAAAGTAATAAATGAATAAAAGTGAAAATAGTAACAGTTTGTTCGAAACATTCTTCGAGGAGATGGGGCGAAAATTAAAAAAAAAATTAATATTAGGCACAACGGTGATTGAACAACAATTAGCATATGAAAAACATAACGTAAATGTGTATATGGAATTGCGAATTATTGATTATCTGACAATATTGATCGATTCCTGCATCGATTGCACAACGCGTGACTTAGAACGTAGCAATAAACTAGGCAATATATTGTAAAGCTACTGAAAAGGAAAAACATGGAATCGTGAGAAATCGTGAAACAAAAATGAAAAAGGAATGGATCATCACAGCAATGATTGTGCTTGGAACATCTATGAGTGTATAATCGCTCTGTTAAAGTTTAAAAAATGACATCATCAGATTTAGACTATTCGAGTCGCTCCAGGAAGTTCGGATCTTTGAAATACTCGGGTATTTGATCATCTAATCGATTGATCACCTTAAGAACAAATTAGATCAGTAGAGAACGGCTTCAGTAGCCTAATGAAATGCTGAGAAAGGAAGCACGAAATTCCCTCCACATACACTTGCTTCCTCCCCATCTTCCAACACTGTCGCTCACACACACTTGATTCTTGCCAATCTTTCCCACTTTCTAACTCTGTCCACTATAGGGACTATATAGGGCTGAGGAGGAGCCTATATAATACCTAGATGCTCACTCTGGCCTTACATTTACACTGCCGTTTACATCGTTTCATCTATTTCACTATCACTTTTCCCAGTATTTGTCTGTGTGGGCGGAGCTTTTGCAGTCAGACGTCGTGCATTATCACAAGCAATGTCTCAGGTTGGATTAATATCTGAACAGACCAACCAGGACATCTATAACTCCCACAGCTGTTAATCGTTTCCGGACCCGTCTGGGAGGATAAAAACATTGACTTGCAATTTGGCTGATTCATGTGTAGGCCATATACACCTACAAAACGCTATTGGATTCTGGAAAGAAGTCAAATGCAGTCCACAAGCCCCAGAAAAAAGGGGATTGATCACTGGTATTACTCTTCTTCTGGAATACTTCCTTACAACTCGAAACCGTGGGAGGTAAAAGAAGCATTCTCGACAACTGGGAAGCTTACGTGTTTGCCAAAGTGACGGTTCAAAATCGCCCGACTTAACAGTTCCTGGAACACACTGAGTGTCGTACGGATCTCCTTCACACAAATATTCTCACGCGATCTCTAACCTGTTCATTTGTTACCTTTTTCATCAGATTTGCCCACAATTGTTCACTTCCTCTACCCTTTTGCACCCTCCCTCAGTCCTCAATCATAAACAGGAAGTATAATTGAAGTATGAAACCACTCTTGCTGCGAGCTCACTTTATAGATCTGCTTTTTCCACGATGGTTCAGCATCTTTCCCAAGACGTATCGCATCAAAGAATTCACGCAACGATTCTTGTACGACGTTGACCAGATTCTCAGGAGGCTGAAATAATACGAATCCCAGGAACATGTCGCTATTTCAAAAATACCGGCTTTTTTGCTGGTATTCGCACCTGAACGTGATTGTTTCTATTGTAATGTTGATTCAGAGTACGAAATATTTCCGAGTCCATTGTGACTACGATGTCATCGCGTGACGTTATACCTTCAGCTAGTGCTTGTCGGGCAAATTTATCCATTTGAATGTAGTAAAACTCTCTGAAAGAAATCAATTTAAAAAAAAAAGTCCAAAGCGTGGGGATAAGAAAAGAAAACTGTCTGTCGTTTTCTTTGATCAAATTCCCAAATTTCAGTTAAGCGTTATCGTTTGATCTTAAGTGCAGCAGCTAATTAACCATCTGCTGGCCACGCTTTCCATAGGCATTGATTAATCACATAATCAGCCACCGTTAACTATGAACGCAGCTTTGGAGTAACAACAAAACGAACTCCTTTTAGTTCTTCCGTAGCCACGCTGCCAAGTACCACTTCCCCATGCTCACTATCATGGGATACGGTATATTCCCGGGTGACTTTTCATGTTCCAATCCGAAATTGCAGATCGTGAAACAGCGACGCTGACAGGCTGAGAGAGCGTTCACCACCTGTTCATTGAAATCGGCCTGAGAGCTGTGTCAAGGCAAGGCTGTCCATATAGGTGTATGTAATCGAATCTGGCGGTGCTCTCTGTATGTGACGCGGCCTTGAGTACGAATTGTTTGATTAGATGGCCGAATTTGGCATAGGCCACCGACGACGACGAGAACAGGGTTTGACCATAATCGGGCCAAACAACGAGCATCATATTTCACAAGCAGACGGAAACCTGAGCATTGCTTCTACCTGTTGAATGGATTAGTTTCAATAGATAACTACTCTTTGCTCATTCCCTCTTCACCAGAATATATGCCGACTTCTACCAAAACGAGTACTTCGTGGGCCGGTTCTGGGCGCCGTATAGACAATACTCTAAGCCCCGCTAGTTGATCCGCTTATCAGCCTACCGTATACCACGCGACATCGTTTCGGGCGGACGATTACCGCACGCAAATCTCGAAGGAACTTGTCAACTCGTGCGGAGGTAGGAACGGACAGAATGTGAATGAGTCAACAAGACGACCAGATACAGACCAATAAGGCTACCCGAGCAGTTTTTCCAGTGAAAAATTGAAAAGGGGAATTACAGTCATTCAGTAGAACTGTTCAAATGGGTGAATAACGCCTCTCCCTATCAATTAGGTTGGTCCCTGCTCAAAACATTCAGGGATAGCCCAAATCGAACAAGGTTTCAAGCTCCCAAACTTTGTGACACTCAGAATTCAGGGCCCGACTGTCTAGCTCCGGACACAAAACCCCATGTGTCGTCAAGCTTGACAACCATTGTCGCCGCTGCCGGTTCAGATCGAATTCTAATCGCATCGAATTCGACGAGCGCGTACGCCGTCTTGCAATGGGATTACTGTAAAGCGTGACGAATTCCCTCTAAGACCCTCTTCATTCCTCATAGCAGGTCGACCATATTGAAGGTGTTGTGCGTCAGATTGAATCTATAGTGCCGGTGGATGTTCACTTAATAGAAACGAATGGAAGCAAGTGTAGACTACTCAAAAAGTGGTTTCACAGTTTCACAAATGGAATCTAATGGAATTAATGCACTGTTACCCGCATAGTCGGAGATCAAATCCTAGGTTGATACCCGCCCACATACGCACTCTAAATACCTGCACGATTCTGAACGGAAGTCGAACGTCGACGGAGGCTTGTCCCAAAAACCTAGACCTTTACTACCCTTCCGGTAGAGTCTGAGTGTTTATGACCATGGGACAAACACGGCTCTGGAAACACCCCCTATAAGCACTGATTGAGTCATCACGT